CCCACCAATCCTTTTGAGCCTTTCTTAAAAATAATAAAAATCATTTTCATTAGTCATACCGGCAGTTCTAATCCTGTAACCACCTCCAGTTGGGACCTCAGAAAGGAATGATTTGTTTTCCTCATTTTCATCAGTCCTGCCTAAGACGGCCACATATCTTAAACGGCCACATTTTCCCTCAACAAAGGATAGCCGTCTTACACAGGTTTGACCGTACATGTGAAGTATAGGGCCCAATATTTCACTGAAGATTGTACACTCTTGCGTCATTCCGGTATACCACCAAAGATCGTACATAACAAGACGGTTCACTCAGCCAAAAAGTGTCCGCAGAAGTCGTCTCATTGCTTCAGATGGCGCTGCAGTCTTTGTTTTTAAGCTCTCTTTCGTTTCTCAAGAAGAAGAATAGGAATAGCACCCCTTTGCGTGCGCAGATCGACTGCTGTTCATCAGCTGTTGGGGTTGTTAAGTGTGAAGTTTTAGGGGTTTAAAATTTTTTTAGTGACCTCTCGCCTCTCATTATAAAGTCAAATTAAAAGAAGAAAATTGCACCGTTTGGTTTGTAGCATGAGATAGATTACCAACGTGTATAGTTTTAGTTTTAGGAAGAGCATTACGGCACTTGCAATTCAAGTAGGTTACGTAAGTGCCGATTAGAGATTAGAGATGTTACAAGAGAGTGACATACAAATACTAGATGGAAGAGAGATAAAGAAGCACATGTTTAGTTTAGTTTTAGTATAAGAGTTTTACGGCACTTGCAACACAGTTGGTCATATTGTGGCGTCGGTGGCCTAGTGGTTAGGCTCTCGGACTCACAATCGTAAGGTCGTGGGTTCGAATCCCGTCTGGGGCACGACATTGTGTCCTTGGGAAAGGCACTTTGCACAAATTTTCCTCACTTCACCCAGGTGGAAATGGGTACCCGGCTATAGACAGTGAACGATCTTGTCAGTTTGACAGTGTTTGAGTACGTGACATCCACAGCTTGCACAGTATGCTTCCGCAGAAGCCGAAAATGTTTCTGAGTGTTCTCAGAGGGTCTGCTCGGGTAATAATAGTTGTAAAGCGCATAGAGCATGCCCTTGAGCATGGATATACGCTATATAAATGCAATTGTTATTATCATTATTATTATTATTATTATACTAGTGCCGAATTTAAGAGGTGTTACAAGAGAGTGACAGACCAAAAAAAAAAAAAAAGATGGGTTTGAAAGGAAAGAAGTAACAGACCACACCAGAGCACCCACCATCCACCCTCTCCGAGTCTCTGACCCATACATTTATAATTTTTTTTTTTCATCTCCAGGTCTGCACAATCAAATACGGCAACGGGCACTCGACAATCCACTGCCAGAGAGCTGAAGTAAGTGGTGGAGCTTGATCGTTTGTTTGTTGGTTTGTTGGTTTGTTTGTTTGTTTGTTTGTTTGTTTGTTTGCTTTGTGTTTTGACGTTGCTGACACGTGATACTTATAGTACATGTACGTACGAGGTCTGTGTCACAGGCGATCAACTAAATTAAGGTCGTTATGGTGCTTTGTACATCAGAGACAAAAGAACAAAGCAACAAGCACACACACACATACATACACACATACATACATACACATGCACACACATGCACACAAACACATATAAAATACTCATGCACACACATACACACATACACACACACACACACACACACACACACACACATATATAAAACA